ATATATATATATGTATTTTATCCATATATATATATAAAACCTGTCTGTGGAAATACTGATGGGCTAGAAGAAAATGTGATGGCCAAGCACACTGCCTTTGGGAACTGCAAGAGAGCTGAAGCCTGTTTAATGTGAGCCTGGGCCTGGAAGGTAACAATGACTTTCCCTTCATTTTCAGGCTACTTTTGATTTCATTCATTCTTTCAACTGAAAACATGCTGTCTCCTCAGGAATTTATTCTAATGTAAGACATTAAGTTAACATGATGCAGAATGAACCAAGAAGCAGTCTTCAATAATTAAACAGCCTACATATTTAATGACATGTCTTGTGTGCATTAGATGTCCTGGTTAACAGCTGCAGACTACTTTGAAGGCAACTTAAAAGTGCAGTAATGACGAGAGATTGCAAATCATCGAATTAGGAATTAGACAGTTTTATCCTATTAATATGTAAACAGATTTTTTTAACTGTCAAATAATCTAAGTTGTTGACAAAAAAATGGAAATAACAGTTTCTTGGTCCACAGCGGCACAGGATGGCAAAGGAGGCACAGAAGGTTAGAGAGGAGTTCACCAGCCAGTTGGCCCACTTGAGACAAGGACTGGCCATGCCTTCATCATAAAGTTCTGCGGGGTGTGGGGCAACAGTTATGTGTTTGCTCTATAGGTGGAGCAATGTGTGCCCACCAATATCACAGCAGACACACAGTGTGGAATGTGTCAGAACAGTTGGGCTTACTGACAGTTTCAAAATACATACATCGATATAATTTCCATTGATGTAGTCTGAGTTGGTATCTCCTTCTATGGTCTGCAGCCTCACCCGCGAATGATCATCTGCAAAGGAAAAAGAAAAGAGTGATGAAAAGCAATCTGTTGGGCTGCTCAGAGCCCCAGAATGTAAGGATATTACATGGAGATCAACCGTATCCATGTTGCTTTAAAGATAAAGAATTAAATACTACACACCTTCTACACTTCCTATTTTGCTCTTAAAACTAGGAAGGATTTATAATTATTTGCATTTTACAGCAATTCTCATTAACTTATTCTTTGATCATGCACAGGCATGAGGCATTGGCAGAGGTCTGAAACTTCCACATTGAGTCCTATGAATCACAACGGACTCATTTCTCGGATTGAATGTGTAGCGACTTCACTAAATCACATATAAACCCTGAGATTTTGATGGCTGCCTACGACATCTACCTTGACAAATGATGGTTATAAACCATGGCCCAGCCTTTTGGGAGGTGCAGGCATGGACCTAACCGGAGCTGTCCCTGAATTCCCTAAGCCACTCTCTGTTACCCTGTGTGTGAGACTCAAAGTCAGGTGTGCAGGTTAGAATACCCCACTTGGGGTCTGGGGCATGTTACTACACCTCTCTGTGCTTGAGTTTTCTTATCTGGAGCCTGGGGATTAACAGTGTCCACCTCAAGGGATTATCGTGAGCATTAAAATAAAATTGAAAAGAAGATTAGAAGAGAGCCTGGTATATAGTAAGTGATGGATAAATGTCAGCTGTTGCCGCTGTCACGTGCTGTGTAACAGACACGCGGACTGTCCTTCTCACTATCAGTACAGCTGTTGCCCACACACACGAGAGCAAGCCAGGAACGGACCCATATGCAGTCAAACTTTTCCTTGCGGTGACCTACTCTAAGATCTAGTTTCTCAGAGCACATTTTGCTTAAAACCAGAGCCCCCCATGCATATTTTTGCTGGGGGCGTGGGGGGGGGTGAGTCACTAGGATGCTGGGGATGTGCGGATTGTTCTGGCTTTTGTATTTGTTAGGAGAGCCGGTGCGTACACACAGCTACCGAGGAGCAGGGCGGTAGGCAATTCTGGCAGTAAAGCTGTTTGAGCCTCCCGAATGAAAGATGCTCCAATAGACCTGAATCATGGCCATTCCGCACACATCAGGCTTTTAGTCCGCTCCTCTGAAGGGAGATGAGGTCTGCCTTCCTGTACTCCTTGACTTTCCCTGGGCAGTTTTTTTAAAAGGCAGGCATCATATTAGAGGCCCCCAGTCTTCAGAAGCAGTGCTGTCTTAGGATCTATTGTACCTCCTTGTCAGAATCCCCCCTCTCACACTTTATTTCTTTTAGAACCTCAGGATGAATGCCGCTCATTCCCTATGACTTACCACCCTTGGGCTTCTCAAATTATTCTGGAATGTTCTGCAAAGGGACTTCAATCTCTGATAAGACTCCATTCTCATCTCCCATAAACAGAGCCTTTGAAATAAAGAGTTTCCCCATCATCTCCTACTATTCAGTTGGTTACCACTCTCCCTCCCTCAATCTTTTTTCTTTTTTTTTTAAACCTTGGCTGCTATTTCTCCACATGTTATTGCTTTACTCTCCTCCTCATGGGGAAACCCACAAGACATATACCGAGTGTATTTCCTAAGCAGACTGAGATTGTTTTTATTTCTCTTTATAGGCACAGTAGTATCTTCTCCTTATTCTAAAGTTGATTTCACTAGATTATAACCTCCTGGGGTCAGAGACCACGTAGTGTCCTTTCTGAAGATCCCTGTGAGCACCTTTCACCCAGGCCACACTGCCCAGCTCCACGGCCTCTCTTCACAGCACTGCCTGCAGCACACAACCACATGTAGTGGTCCCAACACACAGGAGGTGCACGCAATGCCTTTACTTCTTCACCCCACTAACAAATGCCCTGTCTTGATAGTCACTGTCTCAATGGAAGAAGGGACAAGTTGTGATCAGGCGAGGTCCACTGGGGCTTTCTGGGGTCCTGTTGTGGACTTGCTTAGTGGTTTTATGGTGTTGGCTTTAGAACACATCTATTAACCTGTATTTGGAGGCTTTATGCCCTGTTTTGTACCTATATTTCACTATTTAAAAATAAAAGGGTCCACCTTGAGGGCATTATGCTATGTGAAATAAACCCAACCCAGGGCAAACACTGCATGGTTCCATTTCCATGAGATACTGAGAGTAGTCAAATGCACAGAGACAGAAAGAAGAAAGTGGTTGCCAGGGGCTGAGGGGAGGTGGGGAATAGGGAGCCAATGCTGAGTAGGTACAGACTTGGGGAAGATGATCTGGCAGTGGGTGGTGATGGCTGCACGACAATGTGAGTGAACTTAATGCCACCGAACTGGACACTTACACATGGTTAATGTGGTAAGTTTCGTATTATGTTCATTTTACCACAATTTTTAAAAAAGTAAGGGTCCACTTTCTCCACCCCTCCCTTGTAGAATACCCCTTCAAGTTCCACTCTAAGCTTCGGTGTCCTGAGAAACAGATCCCTCAAAGCTGGGAAGTGCACGTCACAGACTCGGTCTTGGAGGCCCTGGGAGTTCCCCTGTGACTCCCCTTGCCCGGATGAAGTAGATGCAGGGGTGACAGTGACTCTAGAGCGTGCCACTAGAGGACAACTGTCATACATTATTGATGTGTACTCAGGAGATGGCTCAAGAATTACTGCAATGAGGTTTAGGAGGTATTTTTCCTTTCAGTGATAAAATGCGTGAGTATTGATAAGTCAGCGTCTCTTAAGGCAGGGAGAGAGAGAGTTTAGCGGGGAGAATGGGCTTAATCTCTCAGAGATTAGCTTTGGTGTCCCACAGACCCTGATTTGAATACTGACTCTCTACTACTCCCCCAAATTGTGAACTTAGACAAACCCTGAATCTCCATGAGCTTCATCTGTAAAAAGAGGTTGATGATTCTTCCGAGGATCGTTGGGAAGACCAAGTGAGAAGTACATGTCAAGTGCATGGAATATAGGACAGTTTCCATTAAAAAGGAATTACCCCTCTTATGTGAATAAAAGTAACATCCTTGTTGTTTAGCAATTCAAACTACAAAGAGCCCAGGACGCTTGTCTGCAGGTCGGTGGAGGAGGGTAAAACTGCACACTCTAAGCAGCTAATCTTCGGGAAAGATGAGCTTGAGCTAGTTTTAAAGAGGAAACAGGATTTCCAAAAAGACTTGGAAATAGGATGAATACTCCCAAATAGCTGCTACATCTTAATCCCCTGGCATCAACTCAGGAACTTGTCTTTTCATTTAAAAATTTTTTTCTTAAATCAAGGTATGACATATTACATTAGTTTCAGGTGTACAGCATAATGATTCGATATTTGTATATATTGTAAAATGATCACCATGGTAAGTCACTAGATAAAGTTACACATTTTTTTGTTTATTGTGATGAAACCTTTAGGATTTACTCTCTTGGCAACTTTCAAGTATGTACTACAATACTGTCGACTATAGTCACCATACTTACATCACATCCCTGTACCTTATTTATTTTATAGTTGGAGGTTTGTACCACTTGACCCCCTTCACCCATTTCACCTACCCCCAACCCCCCTCCCTCTAGCAACCATAATATTGTATTAGTTTCAGGTGTACAACATAGTGATTCAATATTTATCTACATTACAAAATGCTCACCACAGTTTAAGTCTGGTTACCATCTGTCATCATACAGAGTTGATATAATATCACTGGCTATATTCCCTATGCTGTACTTTTTATTCCCATGTCTTATTTATTTTATAACTCGAAGACGGTACCCCCTAATCCCCTTCACCTATTTTGTCCTTCCCCCCACCTCCTCCCTTCTGGTGACCAACAGTTTGTTCTCTATATTTATAGGTCTATTTTTGTTTTGTTTTGCTCTGTTTTGTTTTTTTAGATTCCAGATATAAGTGAAATCATACAGTATCTGTCTTTCTCTGTATGACTTATTTCACTTAGCATAATACCCTTTAGTTCCACCCATGTTGTTGCAAATGGCAAGATTTAATACTTTTTTATGGCCGAATAGCATTCCATTATATATAGGTAGATGCAGATATATCTGTGTCTATCTGTATGTATATCTATCTGTCTACTCTAGCTGCATCTTGTGTGTGCATATGTGTGTGTGTGTGTGTGTGTGTGTGTGTATATATCACATCGTCTTTATTTATTCATCCACTGATGGACACTTAGGTTGTTTCCGTATCATGGCCATTGTAATAATGCTGCTATGAACACAGGAGTACATATATCTTTTCAAATTAGTGTTTTTGTTTTCTTTAGATAATACCTAGTATTGGGGTTGCTGGATCTTATGGCAGTTCTGTTTTTAATTTTTTGAGGAGGCTCCATACTGGTTCATAGTGGCTGCACCAACTTACATTCCCACCAACAGGACATGAGGCCCCCCATTTTGCCATATGCTTGCCAATACTTGCTATTTCTTGACATTTTGATAACAGCCATTCTCACAGGTGTGAGGTGTTATCTTACTGCGGTTTTGATTTGCATTTCCCTGATGACTAGTGATGTTGAACATTTTTCATGTGCTTGTTGGCCATCTGCATGTCTTCTTTAGAAAAAATGTTTATTCAGATCTGCTGCCTATTTTTAAATTGGATTGTTTGTTTTTTTGCTGGGTTGTATGAGTAATTTATTATGTTGTGGATATTAACCCCATATTGGATATATGATTTGCAATGTTTTCTCCCATTCAGTAGGTTTCCTTTTCATTTTGTTGATGGTTTCCTTTGCTGTGCAGATGATTTTTATTTTGAGGTAGTCCCATTTACCTATTTTTGCTTTTGTTGCTTTTGGAGTCAGATCCAAAAAATCATCACCAAGAGCAATGTCAAGGATCTTACCACCTATGTTTTCTTCTAGGAGTTTTATGGTTTCAGTCTTACATTCAAGTCTTTAATTTATTTTGAGCTATTATATCTAATGTAATACAGTAGCCTAATTTTATTCTTTTGCATGTGGTTTCCCAGTTTCTCAATACCATTTATTGAAGAGACTGTCCTTTTCCCATTGTATATTCTTGC